AACCAGATCCATCAGCACCATTTCTACTGCTACTACAAAACCTAATTTTCTGGGATTCAGGCCTGAGAATGAGGTAGTGGGTTCATCAATGATAGGATTTTAGACTCTCCTGGGAGCCAAAATTGTCTATATAGATTTTCAATCCTAATAAGAAATATAAAAATTCAGTTTTGAGAAATCCTAACCTAGAAAAACAAGAGTTTAGAATAATGTTCTAAATTATAAAATTCCCTTCTGCATGACATCATGTACATTTTCTTTCTTGAGTAGAAATATATATTTTTTCATTATTCTTTAAATAAGAGTATTTTCCTACATGCCATCATTGTACAGATGGAACCATTCCATTCCTAAAGAGTGGGAAATCTTTTCTGTCATATTTTATTGGTTCTTCTGGTTATTAAATTTGACATACTATAAATCCCCTGTTTGCCATTAAGCATATTGTGAATGACAAGATAGTATTAAGCATTTTTTGGCACACAGATTGCATTTGGGCAATCAATAGCACAATCATTCTAGGAAAATTGTTGCTGTAATTGAAGGAGGGGATGGTCATCAAGGAGAATTCTATGTTCTCTTTATACTTGGACTTAGCAAAGAAAGCCAAAAATAAAAACTAGGACAGTTCACAGTTGCAAACATTCTGATTAATAATGATGAAGGAAGGCAGGAAATAAATGGTTGGGGTTGAGACAGAATATGTGGCCTTCCTTTTGCATGGTATCTTCCCAGCAGCATAAGGCATGGAAAATATGAGAGGCCATTACCCAAATGTAGATGACACTGCTCAATCTCACAGCCAAGTGCACCAACCATCCATTAATTTTTTTAAAAAATTATATGTTTTAGTATTTTCCTGTTAATGAGTTGATTATATTTTTAGAAATCGTGGGAAATGTGTAGACACTGATATCACTGTTCCTTGGCTTTGCTAAGGATGCCTACTGTGAGCAAAGTTGTTTCCTCCCTTGGCTGAAGGCCACTAGATTGCTGTTCTCCCTGCCTGTTCCCCTCCCCACTCCCTCCTCCATATACAAACACCAGGGTCATAGGAAAAATATGCTTTTAAAGGCCTAAATCTGCTCTCTCTATGCTGATTAATTATATTATATAATTTTAAAGTCATCTGTATTTTTTATCCATGGCTCCTTTTTTGAATACAATGAAAAAATTATTTGTAATTATTAGCTTCATATTTGTGTCCTCCTTTTGTCATAAGCTCCATGAGAATGAGAACCTGGCTTGTTTTTTTTCACCTCACCACCTATAAACCCAGTGCCATGAACAATGCCAGGTACATAGAAAATGTTAAAAACATGTATGTGAGTGTATGTGTATATATAAATATATATATATAAATGATGAATGCTTATCAACCAGTTAACCTTGTATCCACTGTCACTGAATGCCTTTCACTGAAAGAATCTGTGAAAACCTTTTATTGTTAGCTCACTTTATTAAGTAAAAAGATCTAAGGAGTCGAAGGACTACTACTTTCCAATACACAAATACTCATTACTAATATTCTATCATGCTGTTTTTCTAGTTCATTTCATTTTTCAGTAGCCACATAATATTGGGTGAGTTCAATCTTTTCTTCCTCAGAAGCTTTGATTTCTATTAAGCTATATGCAGTTTCTTTAAGCATCCATGTCAGGCACACAAAAAGCACACCCTCGGATGTTCTTCAGTTGAGGGCAGACTAAACTCTGAATCAGAGGACTACACACTTGGTTTAAATCAAATGGCATATCTACACATTTCACAGAAAAAGACAGCAGCCAGAAACAATAAATCTTCCTTTGGTTACTAGCTAAAATTTCTCAGCATTCTATCAAGTGTATATAAAAATGTTGTTGAAGAATGTAACAAAATAATTAAGTCCTTTGACATATTTTTTAACTTGTGGTATAGATTTTATTTGAAAAACACTTAAGAAATCATTTTGCCACTCCCTAACTAACCAAAGAAGTCAAAATCATTATTCTGAATTAACTGAAATAAAATAAGAAAGAAAAAAATAAAAAGCATTTTGAAAAAGGTAACATGAGGAAAATTTACTAAAAATGTAAATTACATACTACACTATAAGAGTGACAGAAAACGGACAAACATTGTAATCCCAATTTTATGAGAAAAACAAATCTCTCAAAATTTTGGCATAAGATTAAAGTCATGGGGCATTTTAATTAAAAACTCTGTAAATATAGACAAGGGCGTATTTCACCTTGAAGATGCAGAGACAAGTAGCAACTTATTACTCTGTTTCTCGGACCTTTCTTTTTTTTTATTGCATTTTAGGTTTGGGGGTACATGTGAAGAACATGCAAGATTGTTGCATCGGTATACACGTGGCAGTTTGATTTGCTGCCTTCCTCCCCGTCACCTATATCTAGCATTTCTCCCTATGCCACCCCCCGCAACTCGCCACCCCCCACTAGCCCTCCCCTATTTCCCCCCAACAGGCCGTTCAAGCTAGAAAGTGATGATTCCAGGACTTTCAGGGCTTGAAATAATTATAAGATAGAGAAAAGATAAAATCGTACCTTTCATCTCTAAAGAAGTTTGTAGGTCTCATTGTCCAAAGATGGAAGTATAAGCACTCTTCTTGGCACTGCCACAGAACGCACAACACTACACATCCACACCCTACACAAAATCCTTGATATAAAAATGGTTTTTTTTTTCTTTTGGTTTGTTTGTTTGAGATGGAATCTCGCTGTGTTGCCCAGGCAGGAATGCAGTGGCACAATTTTAGCTTGCTGCAACCTCTGCTTCCCGGGTTCAAGCGATTCTCATTCCTCAGCCTCCCGAGTAGCTGGGATTACATGCCTGCCACCATGCCTGGCTAATTTTTGTATTTTTTAATAAAGACAGGGTTTCACCATGCTGGCCAGGCTGGTCTCGAACTCCTGACCTCATGTGATCTGCCCGCCTCAACCTCGCAAAGTGCTGGGATTATAGGCTTGAGCCACCATGCCCTGACAAACGATTGTTTTCTAATCAATTCTAATTGTAGGAAGACTTTTAGATCTTTAAGGAAAAAAAAAGTTTCTTCTTTTACTAGTGTTCCAAGAGCATTTGATATACAGAGGGTAATTAGCATGCACATATTAGATAGAGACATAATCAAATTAAATTGCATGAACTCATTTCACTATGACCTCAAAAAATTCATTCATTCAGAATTTCCAGAAATCAGAAGTCAATCATTCTCCATCAATGAATCTCCAAGTTAGCTGCACTGGAGGGATATCTGTCTATACTTCTTCCTTCAGAACACAAAAGTCAAGACAATTGCCAGAGTAAAACATTCATATTCTTTTTTCTTTTTTAGTTAAGAATGTTTCAATTTTGGATAAACTGTCAGTGGACATGAATCCCAAGAAATCCATTAACATCTGGGAGCTGGAATGACTTTCTTTGGAAATTACCTTATATTTCACATTATTTTAATAATGGAGTGTTACTTTGCATGTAATGTGTGCAGAAACCCCATAATGCAGTATTAGTGACCTTTAATCTTGGTTAATGATAATAAACACCTTAAAATGTCTATATTTTTATCTTTTGTTTTTAGGTAAACTCAAAGTCAGTATTTTGAGTTAGGCAGAGCCTGCCAACAGCACCTTTTGTAACTATGTTTTCTTTCTCATGTAGCAGAAAGCTAATTTTGTTGGTGTTGGCAAAGTTCCTACCTAAAGCATTTCTTAGACTCCTTTGCTGTTAAAGGTATCTATATAATGGTATTTCCAGACAATAATATATAAGTGACTTTATTGGGAGGGGTTTCTGGGAAAGCACCTTATATAGGAAATGGACTCATTTAATACCAGATATATCATTTTTGCCCATGGCACATTTTCCTTTTTGTTGCCACAAATACAGATCTATGGGATAAAGCTCTCCAGCAACCATCTCGAGCAGACTGTGGGGAGAAACAAGAAAATCAGCCCTGACATCTTTGAGACACTGGAATGCTTACTTCTGAATTTGTGGCTTTGAGGGAAAAGCACAACACCTATCTTGCTTAAATCACTGTTCCTAGCATTATCTGTTACATTCAGCTGAATAACTTTCATGTTCTGTAACAAGTCCAAGGTCTCATAGCTATAAAATAATGTAACTTCTTCTAATTCTGCATTCAATAAAGAATGCTAAGAGCAGACATCTTCAACATTAATTCAGCTGGCCAGAGTAATATGTAAGGGCTAACTTGCAGCACTAGAAAGATCCCATAGGCCCATCTGTATCCCGAGCTACAAAAATATCTTGTTTACTGCATATTTCATTGTTTGTTTTTATCTATTCATCCAGTATTATTGACAGCCTACTATTAACAAATATTGCATTGTCTAGAGACCAACAGAAGAAAATGTCACTGCTATCAAGAAGTTTATAGTCTAGTCTCGTAGATATTTCCAATAAATAGTTAAGCAAAGAATTTTTATAATTGTGGTAATCTGTTACTATGATAGCAGAAAACGGGGAGGCCTATTTCAGAGCTCAGGGTGAGAGAAAGCTTTAGAAAGAATGTGTCGTATGTGCTGACTTCTGAAAGATAAGGATGGACTAGTCAGGCAACTGGGTATGAGAAAAGGGAAGGTAAGTTTAAGGCATAAGAAACAGCACGTGCAAAGGTCCTGAGGTTTAATAAAGATTGGGGTAAGTGATTCACAATTAGACTGGAAAAGTAGGCCTGAAAGGTAGGTTCTTTTAGGCTGTGTTTGAAATTTTGGACTGTATCACAGAAGCAATGGAGACCATGGAATGCTTGTAAATGGGAAAGAGATTTAACTAAATATATCTTAGGATTAAAGAGAAAAATACCTGGAGTTATTTTTTTAATTATTTGGAATAAGACAAGAGGAAGCAGAAACAATTGTTAACATATTATTATTGCAGTAGGTCTGACTGGTAAATATATTGGTGAATTAGAATCTGGTGATAATGGAGGAGTTAGCAAGAAGTGAACAGATTTGATAAGCATTTAAGAGGCACCTGTCTCCCGACACATAGATGATTGGGTAACAGAGCAGTAAGAACACAGATATGAAGAATACCTTCCTTGTTTTTGATATGAACTGAACTGTCATAAATTACCAAGAAGAATGCAGGAGAAGGAAATATTTTGATAAAAAGAGCATTAATCCAGTTGGTTGAGTTTAAAGTAAGTGTAACACATCCAAGTGAGAATATTGAGTAGGCAGTAGAGTATAAAGGACTAAGCGCAGGAGAATTCAGATGGTATACTTGTGGTGAGTGTTCCCTCCGCATGTAAGTGACAACTTTATATATGTTTATGGCCACACTTCTGCCTCTTTTGTTTCTAGATTAGAAGCTCTTAGTATTACCAATAAATAATTTTATGCTATGAGAATTAGGTAGCTTACTGTCTCTTTACCCATCTTATTTGCCATACTTAATTTTCTCTCTTTGCAATTCCAAATGAGTCAGTCAGAAAGCAAATTTTTTTTTTCAGAAAGCTTCTCCACCATTAAGCACTGTATCTGCTTTCTATAATCTATTAATATTACAATAACAGAAGAACAACACCAATACTTTACCAAGCACATAAATGTCCCAGACACTGTTACATCCTTTGCATATATAATTGCTAATTGTATCAACACTTACATGAAGAAGGGTTTTCAAAAGCATTTTGTCAGTGAAAGAATTGAGATTTAGAGCAGCTGCATTGAGAAGATTATTCCTATGCTAAGGGGCAACTTGTCCCCAATCATGAGGACTGGACACCCAGATTTTTCCTAAGAGTTCCCATTGAGGATATAATAAATAAATGTTTTGTAGGGGGCAGAAACTTTTTTCTTTCCTCTCTTATGTCCTCTACCTGGGGTCCTGCAAATTAGACTGACAAAAGACAGATCCACAGGAGAAAAATGAATACTTCATTAACATGTGTAGCCTGCAAGAGAAATTCAGTTATGAGTAGCCCAAAGGGGTGTTTAAAACCTGGATTTACATAGCATCTTAACAAAGATCATAATTTGTAGAGTACTGAAAAGACAAAAAACAAGTTTTTAGGCTTCCAGATGTTGCAGACTTTGGGAAGGTAACTATATGGAGGAAACAGATGTACGATAAAGACTATCTTAGCAAGATTTGTTTATGCAGAACAATCTGGAAGCTGAAATTCTTCTTTAAGACCATAAAACTTGCTGGAAAGAGGGGATTTATGGCAGTCCTCATTTCTCAGAAACTTCTGCCGTATGGTTATATAATGGAAGCTCTGAGAAGGCTTCTTTCTGCTTGTGTGGATTTTCTTTTTGGCTCTAGCTAAAAATAATTTTTATGCCAATGTGTTATATTTTGGGGTAGCATGTTCTGATCCCCTATGGCTTCATGGAAATGATAGAAACAAGTATCAGCTCTTTCTAAACTGGCCCAAATACTCCATGCAAATCGTTCAGAAGTGTTTCAGAGGACAGTTACATTTAGAAATAACATAAAAGTGATACTCAGAATGCAACCATGGGTCAGATTTTATACCTGTTTCCTTTAGTTACCTTTGTGAGGGCAATGAACGATAGAGGCTAAGTTTCATTACTTTATAAAATAATATGTCAAAGGAGTCCTCAAAATCAATTTGTTCTAATAAAGATCTCAGTAGGATGTTAATTTAGGATGCTTATAACAAATAACAATGTAATTTCTACAAGAAGAACAAACACTCTGTCTATGTAAAATATCCAGGTCCTGATTCTGTGCTCACTGCTTGGAAGAATTTGACACATTAATGAGATGAGTGGGTAAAGTAGAGAGAAACATTGTTCAGATGGCATTTCAACTTTCATCTGTCTATATCAATCATCCCACTTTTTTTTCTTTTACAGATTTTGCTTATTTTGTGCAGAGGATGAGGCTTAAGAAGAATTTAAACCTGTCTTAGTAGATTATTTCTTTAAGCACAGAATACAAATTTATTATATGAAATATAGATATACATATTTTAGAAACATTTCTAGATAATATGAAATAAAATGGAAATGCCTTCATATGGCTTAAACATATTTAATTTTCAAATATTTTACTTACAAATTATTCTATCTAGTAAAACAGATCTTTGACATAATTTTTGAATAGTTTTCTTTAAAATAAAATATTTTTTAAAAATCTACTAGTCACTCCAATATAAAAATAATAAATTTAGAAAATACAGAAGGGTACAAAATATTTATCTATTTATCTCATAACTGTGACTATGAAGGTATCACATAAATGATATAAATGACTATAAGATGAATTTTGTGTTTTGATAGCCTAGTTTACATAATTTATTTGCTGATGAGAACTGTCAAATAATATTATGAATTAACTTTGGAGCTTTTTATTTGCTTAACACATTTGGTGACAAATTCATAATATAAGAACGTGAAATTAGATGAATAACAGTTTGACTGGTGTCCACAGCACTGAAGCAGTTATTTCAGTGCTATAAACCTCAGGTGTTGCAAAACTAAAGACCACTGTCCTCCCAAGAGTCTGCCTCAAAAGCCTCTCAAGAATCAAGGCCTCTTTTCCCCTTCCAGTTCAAGTAACTGTCTCTTATTGGCTGGCTATACCCTGGAAATATTCAAGGGTGGAAATTCTGGGAAAATGTAGTTCTGTGAGACCATAGAAAGATGCGGTGTGATGCCAAGTTAACAGCAGACATCTACCACATTATATTATTTTTTAAAAAGTTAAAAAGCTGTATAGACTTTAATGTTTCCATCTTAAGTATGCTCATTAAAACTCATTATTACTTCTTCCTGCCTATAGGTACTCCAGGCATCCTAAAGTTTGAACAGAAAGGAACTTAGCTTTAAATTCTATAAAAGCACAGGATATGGTGAAGAGTAAACATAAATTGTTCAGTACTGTGCTTCTTCTTTTTCTACCTACATTTATTCCTTCTTTTCCTATCTACATTTACTCATGTTTGATGTATGTCGAACATACATCGACATGTTCCAATGTCAATGTATGGATTGAATTATCATGTATATACTCACAACTCTCAAATCTGTTTCCAGCCTTGACTTTTTCCCTTCGAACCACAAAAATATTTCCAGTATCCAACCAACACTCACTTCGATGGCTTCCACCCTAATCTAAGGCAGATGTGATCGATTACCTGCTTTAACTAGAGTTCCAACTTTGGTCATTAGCCTTTTATTCTCAACAAAGCAGATTAAGTATATAGTATCCATCCTCTGCCCAGAAACCTTTAGTGACTTCCACTCTTGTTGAAAGTAAAAGTTAAAATTCATCGCAGTGTCCTATAAGGTCCTTGGATACCTGCTCTTATTATCTTTTGGAATTCACTTTCTATTACTTTCCCCCAACACTTACTTCACTCCAGCCCCACTGGACACCTTGTTGTTTCTCTGCTACACCAAACATCCTCCCACATCAAGCTCATTGAACTTGCTCTTTCTTCTACTTTGAGTACTTCATTCAGGATTCTGATCAAATGTCACCTTCTCAATGATGCCTTCACTGACTTTTCAACATAAAATAATATCTTACCCAAGAACTCCATTCCTCTTTTTATTTGCTTAAATTAATCCTTGGCAAACATCAATATATGTAATTATTCATTTTTATCTCTTTTTTCCACTAGATTTTAAGCTTCTTGAGGAAGAGAACTTTTGTCTTACTCACTGCAACATCCAAAGAAGAAAGAGCAAGCAGATCCCAGCATTTTGTAGACACCAAATAAGTAATCTGTGAATGAATAAATGAATAGAAGCTGAGTTGTATTGAGAAATGATGATACACAGATGTGATTGGCAAGCAAACATTTGGATTCGACCATAATAAATAAGTGTATTTTCTCCAAGAAAGAAGGTGTCTACTACATAGCTAAGCTCATTTATCTAAAGTGAGTATTAACAACTATTATTTAATTTGATATATACTCAGTCATTTCTATTTTATTTGGCTCTAAGTTAATGTAATATGCTGACAGGCTATGAAGTAGCCCTTCTTCATAAAATAGCACAATAACTCCAGGATCTTTAGAATAGTGAGAAGACTATGCCATTTTTTACTTTCAAAATAAGCACTAACAGTACAAAAATTTTACCTCTTTTGTGATATATGAAGATTAACTTTGAATTGGTATTTAACTGGGTTTCTGATGAGATTTCCCAATATTTTACACTGACAATTTCTATTTGCATTTTCTTCTCTCGTCCTCCTTCCCAACTTCACTCATGCCTTCCCTCTGCTTGAATGTTCTTCCAGCATTGATTTGCTTATAAAATATTTTCTCTGCATCTAAGACTTACTTCACATGCTAATACCCTGGCAAACCCTTTCCTGATTCACATAGATGAAGATGAAGGCACTCTTCCTGTGCTCTTTTTGCACCATGACCACAGTATTTGAAGGAAGAAGCTGTATATCTCATATAAATATCCCTAGTGCCTTTCACATTGCCTTACTTATAGTAGATGCCTGTTACATATTATTTTCTGAATGAATAAATGAATGAATTCATGCAGGGAAAACAAACTGGTATTCAAAGCTAAATAGCAGCTCCTGAATTCTCACAATTACTGTTGAAATCACACTGTTTTATATTCCAGAGACATAAAGTTCTGCACTGAGAAAAAAAAAATACATTAATTTCTAAAGTCACATACCTTGAACTCTGAGGGACAAAAATATTTAATTTTCTAATGTGAAAACATAGTTTAAAGAAATTAAACCAACAATTTTCTCACTCAAGTAACATGTTTTATTTTAACCCAATGAATACGTTTATAAAATACTTTAATGTCTATAAATTTTGCTTCTGTAAAAATTGATGGATCTGGTAAAGTTTAGCCACTAATTTATGTAAATGCACGGCATTTTGATTTTTTTAAATGAGATTGTTAATTTCTGTAGCTTAAAAAAAATATGAAACAACTTATTTCTAACTTCATCCTCTTGCTGATATCCTACTCCCTTCCCATTCTTATTGGCAGTAAACTTGTCTTCCCTGACAAGTGAGTCACTTGAGATAGGAACATTTATTGATTAGAACCTAGTTGGGTCAAATTAATATAAAGAATATATAAGAATGAAATACCATGCTTTATGAATACACAGAAATGCATATGTATATAA